CACAAATAAAAACATGATAGTGTTTTTACAAAAAAATGTAATGCAAATATATTTAAAACAGCATACAAAATATTAATTCTGAATAAATTTACATCTAAGAGCTTCTACGATGTGAACGGCCCTCTTGGACCTGGATGTACATAAATTAAACCAGGATAGAGTTTTGGCCAATAAAATTAGTAATAGCAGTAGGAAAATTAGATTTTGTACTTACTTGGCTGATAACTAGTGGCTGCTGTAAAAGGTACCTGACTGCATCCCACTGATGAAGGTGGTATGTCATGACCAGAGGAGCCTTCCCAAAGAAAATGCAAAAACAAAACTTAAAAAGAGATTCGGAAGGAATACCATAGACCATTTGTGTAATCGGTGGGGCCATCAAGGTCATGTGCCAATCTTTATTTCGTAAAGTTGTAACTTTAAAATATGAAATTAATTTCCTACTCACTTTGAGTGTGACCTCTGGAATTACTGTATCCTTCACCAGTCTCACTGGCCACAGAAGAAGGAGACTGATTGTATTCCACTGATGAAGGCAGCTGCTGCCCAGGGAAACCTTGACCAGAAAAATAAAAAAACATAATTTAACATATTTAATTACATTCTCGTCCCCTGAGGCTGTGCTCCTTGTGCTGACCAAAAGGAGCCCGGTCTCTGAGGATGAGAATGATTTAAATATTATCTCACAGACACAATGATGTGCCATATCATATGCTTCAAAGGATTTCCAGGCAAATGATATTTTGCATTCGTTTTACCATTAGCAGTAAAGAAAACTAAACTCTTAGAGCTCTGCACACAATCAAAACATAACACAGAGTTTTCACTCCCAAAAACATGTAAATATTTTTGTTTTCTTACTCACTTTGAGGGTGGCTTGTCTGGTATGTTAGAGTTGAAGACTGAGTGAGTGGGGCAACTGGCAACTGATTGTGNTGAGTAGTAGTACCAGGATAAGAAATATGATTGTACTCCATTGTTAGAGGTGGTCTGCCATAACCAGAAGGGCCTTCAAGATGAGAAATCCCATTAAAACAACATTAACAAAGGCTAATCTGCTTTCATCAACCAACTAAAATGACGTTCTCCAGAGGATACAGATAAATGCCAGCAGATGACAATATTTGACAATAACCTTTTCCGAGATACCCATCTACATGTATCTTCATCATCTATTTGCATCATAGCCAGATTTCTTCTCAGTAACACTATCAGAGGTTTGATTTGCCAGTTTTGTGAAATGTTATACATCGCATGGAAGTAGTATCCGAAGTTCAGGGCTAGGCCAGGCTAGGCCAATTTAGAAGCGGAAACAAATTTGCAGTAAAAGCCCAATTGAAGGCTTTCGTGCAAAAAGGGCGTATAAATCAACAAAAAAAATTACGCAATGATGCTTTTCATGTCAAAAGAAGTGTATCTGCCAAAAATTAGCTCAATCCTGCAAAAAATAAAAATCAGCCCAAAATGCTATATCACCCTTTTTGCACGAAAGCCTTCAATTGTTTACAAAGCAATAATTGCCTTGTTAACAATTGGGCTGTTATTAAGGTTACTGTATACCAAGTTTGGCCACTAAAACATGCTGAACTTATAGAAGGGAAGATCAAGAGACTCTTAGCATCTGTACACAAAACATGATAGAGTTTTTCCCACAAAAATGCAATGCTAATACATTTAAAACCACATTAAACAATAAATTCTGGAAACATTTACATGTACATGTACAGAGGACCCATAACATGACGATAGTGAAATTTAGTACTGGGTAGTCAAGATCAACAAACTTTTGGCCCTGGATGTGCCTAAATTAAAACAGGATACAGAGTTTTGGCCAATAAAATTGTTATGACTGTAGGAAAATAAGATTTTATTCTTACTTGACTGATAAGTTTGAGTGGCTCCAGTGAAAGGTAACTGACTGTATCCAACTGARGAAGGTGGCATGTCATGACTAGAGAAGCCTTACCAAAAAAATGCAAAAACAAAACTTTCAAAGAAATTCTGAAACAATACCATACAGCATTACTTTGTGTAATGTGTATGGCCATCAAGGTCAGATGTTAATCTATTATATTAAGTTGTAATTGCATCTACATTTTYTTAAATCTGTTTCCTACTCACTCTGAMTGTGACTTCTGTTATTGTTGTATCCTTTATAATTCTGACTGGCAACAGCAGAAGGCAACCGATTGTATTCCACTGATGAAGGAAAGCCTAGACAGGGAAAAAACACATTTAAAATATATAAATATTTTTTCAAAAACACGATGATATGTGTCATCTAAAAAGCTTCAATCAGTTTCACGAAAGAAATTTATAAATATGTTGGCCATAAGCAGTAAAGATAGCCAAGCTCTTAGTAAGAGCTTGATCTAAACACAATTTAAAACATGACGCAGAATTTTAAATTCCAAATAATTACTATGGAGTTTTTTTCTTACTCTCAACATGGCTTGTCTGGACGTGACCTGTCTGATACAATTGAGTTGAAGACTGAATGACTGGAGTCAATGACAACTGATTGTATTCCACTGATGATGCTGGCCTTTCATAACCAGAGGAGCCTTTAAGAAGAAAATCAAAACAAAACCTTTCAATTAATCTGAAAAAATGTTGTTGAGAAGTTGTGCAAAAAGGTGCAGGG